TATTTGCTATTATTGGTTATAGGTTAGGATTAGGGTTAGGGTTAGGGTTCGGGTTAGGGAGCAGGCGTAGCGGACTCCCTAGACTCGTTAGTGGAGGAGGCCGAAGTACGGTCCGGCATATTAGAAGTACCAGGGTACGTTCCGGTATACCGGACCGTACCAGGGTACGTTCCGGCAGTACCCGGGGGACATAGACCCTCTCAGCATTACTAGTACTACTACTGCTGAGAGGATCTATATATGTCCCCCAGGGTACTGCCGGAACGTACCCTGGCCCGGGTACGGTCAGGTATACCGGAACGTACCCTGGTACTATCTAATATGCCGGACCGTACAAGGGCGTGTACAGGATTTGTACCAGGGGGGGTTCTAACCGTAGCCCAAACTTGCGAGCACGCGAAGGGGGGGTCTGGGGTGCCCTCCCCCAGAAAAATTGTGAAATTAGACCCTCTTAGATGCATTTTCTGCGCGAGCAGGGGGGGTCCGGACCCCCTGAACCCCCCCATGTACACGCCCCTGCCGTACCTCGCCTACTCCACTAACGAGCCTAGGGAGTTGCCTACGCCTACTCCCTAACCTTAACCCTAACCCTAACCATATCAAATAGTTACCAGGGTACGTTCCGGTATACCGAGCCGGCCTATGAGCACTATACTACTAGATACAATAATGTAACCCAACAAGAGTAGGCCTACCCTACTCTTGTTGGGTTACATTATTGTATATACGCTGCTACGAGTACTAGTACTACTACTAGTACTAGTAGTAGTACCAGCACTGATTGATTTTTTATTTTTATTTTATTTATTTATTTAGGCAATTATCCATTATATACAATACATAGCATACTTTTATCAGATGATGATGTCTGATGTTTGATGTGTGATGTCTGATGATGACACAACTTTGATGTCATCAGATGATCAGTCTGTCATATTCACCTCTGCTACTAGTACTAGTTATACTGCAGTGTTTGCATTTCGAGTTTTGTGCCTTGCAGATCAGACGGGATGAATCAGAATGTTGAAAGGATGGTGATTATACGGCTGTGAGAAAACAATAAATCATGGCAGCCAGTAGAGAATCTGTCCGTGGCATGTGCCCTGTTTGCATTTTGGGTTTTGTGCCTTGCAGATCAGACATCATGATGAATCAGAATGTTGAAAGGATGGTGATTATACGGCTGTGAGAAAACAATAAATCATGGCAGCCAGTAGAGAATCTCTCCGTGGCAGGTGCCCTGTGCCACTGACACTGAGTGGGTTGCGGCAAGGGCGGGCTGCACGCCTAACCACCCTTGCAACATTTGATGCTTCGGACTTACAGGACAATATGGTGCAACAAGGTGTGTCACAGCTACTCGATTCTAAGTCAACACAAAATACTTGCAAATTCAGTTATAAATATACCATAACTATAGAATTTCCAGTTATAAATTAGGCGTATACTTGTGATACTGGTAAGGTCTACGTCAGATAAGATCGGTGAAATCATTCAAACGTAAGATGTTGCGTTGTGACGAGTCAAGTTGTGTAAATTTATCAATATGCAAATTATGACAATTAAACGTGCAATACGAAACGAAAATTCACTCTCATGTAGCTTTTTCAAAGCGAATTGATGCAGTTTTTACCACAAAACCTGGCCTGGCTTATGCCTTTAAACACCAGTAATTACTATAATGCAATGTGTGCTCATCTTTCAACGTGTCCGATTCATGGAATTTCATGTTACAATCTCTATAGAACACAAAATAAGATATTAATGTAGGCCTATTCCCGCAGTACTCCCTCTTTCGCAATAAACCCTCTAATACAAACTTCCATGATTTTTTAGGCTTCATACAAATGCCACCAGGGAATGGAATATTGGTTGGCACTTCTGACGACACATACCTACCGGTCCTGCCTTAACTGCAGCATTTATCTGGCATGTAGGATATAGATGTTCTCTTGTTAAAAGAATAATCCATAATTACGATATGCACTAAATAAATGTCACTGCGCAGATGGGGAAGGCGTGCACGAGGAAAGGACGTCAGAAGCGCAGTCACTTGTTTGTCTTTCGGACTTGCGAGTGTCGCCGATCGCACCAATGTTGCTGATGCTCTCCATGACCAAGCAGCTGTGTCAGGTGTACGGGGGCAAGTCCTCGCACAGCATGTTTACTTTCATGATGGAGAAGCTTTCCGAGATGCACGTGAGTTGACCGCATCTCAGCTAGCATGCTTACATGTTCGATTAAGTCGGCGGGCGAGGCGTGAACTGGTAACAGGAGTGACTAAAATTGAGCAGAACACTCACGTTAAACATGACGCCGAACCCTAATCCTACATCAAATGCTAATTCTTATTGCTAAAATTAACCTCTGTTTCTAACCTTAATGCTATCCCTAAACCTAAACCTTAAATGACGATCCATATTAGTTTCATCCTATAACTGAAAGTGTAGTCTATAATTACAACTAGGATAATCTTGCCTCGTGTCTGTGTGTAGAGTCCCCGTGAAAAATTACTAAGAAATCCAACCGAGGTTCCCTTCTGTAGGTCCTCTACATTAAGATACCTAAGATCCTGCCCACTTCTAGAGGATAATATATGTTAGATTGTGCTTGGTTTGAGATTGCGGTACGTGCTGTTGCAGGCTGTGTGGCCAACGTTCAGCCCCGAGCAGTGCGGTGTAGAGCCACTGAAGAGTGTGTATGACATTTACTCCGACGAAGTGCGGTATATGCTCGCCAGCGCGCGGGAGAACACCCTCCTAGAGCAGGATGTCATACTCAGCCCGCTCCTGAAAGGGGAGGAGCGGATAAACTTGCTCCTCCAACCAAAACTCAGCGACGTTAGGTAGGTCCGGGTAACACGATTGGGAAGACAAGGTGGAGGTAATTCTGGATTGTGAAAGAGAGCGTCGAGAAAATGAAACACATTTGACCTGTTATCGAAAAACTCGAATATGCCAAATGTTTTTGTGGCTGCGCACAACGTTGTATTTTACGTGATGATGTTGGCCATGTAAATTGCAGGCAGCCAAAGTCTTCATTTGAACAGATCTTCCAGCCTAGCCACTATCAGAAAGAATTTGAAGAACTGCAGAGGCTGGGAAAGGGTGGTTTTGGCAGAGTGTATAAGGTACTACAACCAAATACTTAAATATATGATTAGCTACGATGTTAAACTATGTTTTCTGAAAGTTACTACATTCCTCTCAGGGGAGATATGTTATAAATGTACGGTCTTTATTCGCAGGCAAGAAACAAAGTCGATGGAATCTGTTATGCAGTCAAGAAGGTTCGTTTTCCGAGCTCAATGTCTGAAAGTGACATCAGAAAAGTCATGCGGGAAGTCTTCCTTCTCGCAAAACTAAGGCATGACAATGTGGTAGGTAAGTGTGACAACTGCTACTGTGATCACAAAGTGCAATGCTACACAACGCCTTGCTGGTAAAGTACATACGTAAAGGAGAAAGAGTCTTTACCAATTTTCGTTTCTTCCGGTAGGTAGCTGTTTTTGTTATTATGCGTGTTTAATCTCATTGCAGGGTACAATGCGGCATGGCTCGAACACACGCTCCCAGGCAAGGAACCATCCTATCAGCTCTCGTACGGTTCGAGCGAAAGTTCACAGAACATAGTCATGCAGACAAGCAACACCCCTGACTGTACTTCGGATGCTTTCCTGGACGAAGGTGGCGCCACACTGCAGGTCTGTGAGTACAGTCCGGCACCGGTAGCGGGTAGCGCCATGCTCCAGGACTGTGGGTGCAGCGTGGGGCAGAGTACAGGTCGTCCCATGCTCCAGAGCAGCGAGTGCAGTGTGGCGCCAGTCGTTCAGAAAACGTCATCGTCGTCTGAGGAAGTGTCCAGCGAAGATGGGTCTGTGATTTTTTCCCCCGATGCGAATTCTAGTTTGACTGTGCTTGATCCGGGACAATCATTCCTCTACTCACCAAAGAAGTCTGCAGGAAGGGAGTCGAGCGGGGCACAGTGCAGCGAGCAGCCGCTGCAAGACCAGGTCCCAGCAACGGTTGACGACAACATACCCCCTCGCCCGCATGACGAGGAGACGCCTCCTCGCCTGCACGACGATGACCACAATGACATATCCTCTCACTGGCGCAATGGCGACGCGATTTCTGGCGTGTTCGGTAAGCGCATTCGGCGAATATCTAAGAGCAGCGGTCATCTTGAGCAGAGCGCCGAGAAAAACGCCCGCCTATCCGTCGTCCCAGTCCGCTTCCAGCGCAGCCAGAGCTGCGAGGTGGCGCCAGTATGCGGCGGCCAGACGCTACCACGGCTGCTGCACGAGTCGCGTGTCGTGCTCTTCATCCAGATGCAGCTGTGTGTTGGAACGCTGCACGACTGGCTGCGGAAGCGCAACGATCGCTGCGCGAGCGAGGGCGGCGGCGGCGGCGCCCCCTACGACGTCGTCAACCAGGCGGAGAGCATGGACGTGCTGCGGCAGCTGCTGCACGGCCTCGCGTACATCCACGAGCAGCGGCTGATCCACCGCGACCTGAAGCCGCGCAACGTGCTGCTCGGTGACGCCGGCCGCGTCATGATCGGCGACTTCGGGCTCGCGCGCGACCACGAGGTCTCGGCGGAGCCCGAGGCGTGCGCGAGACGCGACTCCTGCTGCGACGATCTGACCCGCAACGTCGGCACGCGGACGTACGCCTCGCCGGAGCAGCTGTCCAGCAGCAACTACTCGAGCAAGTCGGACGTGTACAGTCTCGGCGTGATACTATTCGAGTTGTTTCACCCGTTTGAGACGGGAATGGAGCGTCTGCGGATGCTGGAGCGACTGCGGGAAGCCCAGGGCCATGTGCCGCCGTGCTTCTGGGAGCGCTGGCCGCGGCAGTCGCGCTGCATCTGTGATATGATCGCCGAGTGCCCGGAAACTCGGCCGACGGCGAAGGATCTCCTAAACAGCGATCTGTACGTCACTCCGAACGTCGCAGTCGGACTCCTGATGAAGCAGATACATGAGGAGAGAGAGGCCGTCAGGCTGCGAGACAACGAAATCAAGAAGAAGAATCGAGAGCTGAAGAAGCTCAAAAGGTTGTTGGGGTACAAGTGTCGAGAGATTGCGAGGAAAGACATGGAGTTGGCAGCTCAGGCTACACAATTGCGAGTCCAAAAACGGGAGATAACTGCATTTCGCGAAATGTTTAACAAGATAGTCAAAAAGTCGTAATGCATCGTCATGTATTCAATATTAATTTTAATCAAATTAGCTTTGTATTCTCTTGTTATTTTCTGTGAGATATTCTAGAACAGTATAGATTCTGGTTGTATAGCATATATATATAGCAGTGTTTCCCCTGGCCAAACATTTTTTTTTTCGAGGTCCTAGCAAAGCAAGCACCTCAGGTGCTCGCCCAGCTATTCTAAGGTATTTTGGTCCATTATAAGCACTGTTCTATGAAAGAACAGTGATTTTCGTCAGCAAGGCGGTGTTTTGGACAAATTTCTGTGTGGCGGCTGTGAATTTGAGCGAGGCAGCCGGCCTCGCCTGTGTCAATGCAGGGGAAACACTGTATATAGCATTCTTAGTAAAGGAGAAATTACCTTCACTCCCAAGCTCCAGTCTCAAGTTTTGTTTACGATTGTCAAGCTGGTGATAATTCTGCGTGTCAACTAAACTAGTCAGTAGTTTTGTTCAAGAATACAATGAATTTAATATAAATTTTATACTTTGCCCAAGATCAATATGTTATTGTGTAATTCTTTTGCTACTTACTTTCAAGTTTAAAACCATAGATAATAAATTTACTACTACATGCAAAAATGAAAAATGCACTGTGAAAAATTAACATGGCACAATTATGTATCTACACATTCGACAAAAACCGACACTTTACAGAATACCAAATGCTACGACAAACACACGGCATGAATTCTAAAAGCGACAATAAATTCAATGTGCATACATTTTTTTATGGTCCATCGAATTGGAATTTGTCATCATACCTGACGTGTTTTCATGAATTTCAGTCGTGCTTTCACGTATTTCACTTCTTAGCCAGGTAAGCTTTCGTGACCTGATTGACGACTGTGAAAGCCAATATTACAACGCTTCCCAGACATGCATACTGCACTGGTACCTGCACTCGCTGCGTGAACCAGCCTGAGTAAATGCCGAGACTCAGTGTGGTGAGGCCGCACAGATACAAAAGAAGGCCGGACGTTGCATGATAGAGCTTATTCTGGGCGAGCGTTATTCTTTTCCCTACCAACCATTTCATCTTCAGTGCGATACCACCAAGTATCTGAACGCAGATGTAGGTGATGGTAATGACACCCATAGTGCCGTGCCAGGAGGTGAAGTGAGCTCGGTGTTTCAACTCCTTGTTGTACCAGATAGCTCCAAAACCACTCAATGCACAGAGCACAGTTGCAGCCTATAAGTATTGTAACAGAAAAAAGAATTGGAACAGAAAAAAGTACCATTTGAACAATTGTGCTTGAAAAAAAATTAAAGGAACAGTAGCCTCTAGGTTCTAGGGTTATTTTCAGCTAATTTAGGTTATAATTGCGCTACATA